AGTCAAGCCACAACTTCAGCCACATCTCTAGCCACAGATGCAGCCACACCTTCACCCACACGTTCCCGCATCCCGCGGTTGCTACGCAAGGCGCGCAAAGGGCTGACTCTTCTCCGCCGCGCCAACCAGGGCGATATGGCCTGTCTGCAAAAGGTCCTTTTCCTTGCATACGGCCGCGTGGGCAGGCGCAAGCACACGCTGTTGGCACCCCTCCTCAGGCCCGATGCCATCATGGACGGCGGCAAACTGCCGCTCCCTACCGCTGCTGCCGATGTGCCCCCTGCCCCGCTCCACCAGCTCTATTACACTTCTTCGCGGTGCCTGGGCCTGTTCGCCGCCCCTGTGCCTATCTCTAAGACGCACTGCTCTATCGCTATCTCGGATCGCTTCTCGCGGCTGCGCGCCCTCATCAAGTCGCAGCACAAGAAGGGCCTCGCCATCCACCGCGAGCTCAAGGGCCAGCTCCTCAAGACACCCATACACAATGTCTGGGGCCGCCCTATGCCCATTAAGAGGGCGCGTAACAACGTCCGACGATGGTATGCTGAGACCATGACGAGAATTCTCCCGCCCCTGCCCGCCCACGAGTGGGATAAGATGCATGCCATGATGCTCGGTCACCAGCCCATCGGATTGGTCAAACCAAGGGCCAAAACCTCCCTTCCCACTGGTGTTGGCTTTGATAGCGTCGCTACACCAGAAACTCTCTTTGCCAGCACCCTACATGAAGCCACGGCGTTGAGCAAACCCAGTAGAGCAGATAGGCCTGCTGGTATGCACCGCCCCCATGCCATCACCCCCAAGTTCATGCGACGCCTGTACACCAAGATCCTCACTCTCTGCTGTAAGCTTGAGTACCACGAAGAAACAAAGCGCTGGACGGCCATCTGGGGTGAGCCCAACAAGACCATCAAGCCCAAGCTTTACAATGCGCCAACGGACCAACACCTTTTTGCCGGTGTAGATGCACAAGGACGCCTACCACACAAGCCAAAGCAACACGACTTGGACAAATCCGCCCATGTGCAGCCACGCAATGCCGATGGCCAATATATGCGATTTCCCTTTTTCGCAGAGTTCCTGCCAGAGAACAATCCCCTGCGCAAGGAATTGGATGAATGGAAGAGGAAGCGCGCTGCTGCGGCTGCGGCTGCGGCTGCATCTGCGGTTCGTGCGCCTACGCGCTAACAAAAGCTGCCCTGAGTGCGGGGCATCTCAACTACCCACTATTGACGTAGGCGAGCCCCGCAACGCGACACGCATGTATACAATAGGGCGTGTATGTACCTATGTAACAAGTTTGCGGCAGCAAGCCTGGCCATGACCCGGACTCCTTTCTTCTACACACTTGCAGCATCCTCCGAAATCCTCCGAGTACATCATGTCATCCGACAAGGCATCACTTCGCCACGCACGTCGTGAAGGTATACTTGACCTCATGACTAGATAACAGATCCACGCTGATGCCCGTCATCTAGACGTTCCCACTATTCTGGGTCTCATTCGCGAACTTGCAGACTACGAAAACGCAAGTGACAAGGTCGAAGCTACCGAGGAAATCCTTGCTCGCACCCTCGCCCACTACGACTCCTCCACCTCTACCTTTTCCCAAGGGTTTGCTCGTACCCTCCTCATTACAGACCCAGATGGAACTGTAGCTGGAATGGCAGTCTACTTCTTCAATTTCAGCACCTGGACTGGTGTTCCAGGAATTTATCTAGAGGATTTGTTCGTAAAAGAAGCATATCGGAAGAAAGGCTATGGGAAGCGGCTTTTGAAAGAGCTCGCGGCACTGGTTCTCGAGGCTGGAGGCAAGAGGCTGGAATGGAGTTGTTTGGATTGGAATGAGCCCAGTCTCAATTTCTATCAGAGTGAAGTGATTGGTGCGAAGAGGAAAACCGAATGGGTCGGTCTACGGGTCGAGGGAGATGCATTGGCCAAGTTGGCAAACTCATAATGTTTGATTTCAATGGCGACAGCCATGCCAGTAGCTCAGATTACCCACGGAAATAACAAACTACAGTGATTTGACCTGCAGAGGTCTGACTCCAACTCTTGACGCTTCGCCGTTTAGTGCATCGATCTCAGCCTGTACTAACGGGATACCCGTTGCTTCGCGCTCTTTCTGCTGCAACTGCTCTAGCTCTCCAGGAAAGTATATACGCTCTACTCCAGCTGCCTTGTCTGCGCCAACCACCTTGTCATAGAGATACTGCATACGATCTCTAAATTCTTGCAAGCTCATGAAAAGGTCCGGTTTGATCGCAACCAAGAAGTGGCCAACGTCAGATGGCTTAGATGGATCGTATGGACCAGTGACGTTTCCCGCAAAGGCGGATCCAGACAAGACTCCAGAAAAGACATCCATCATAATAGCCAGACCGGACCCTTTTGGACCACCCATCGGAAGCATGACACCCCCGTCAAGAGCTGCGGCTGGATCCGTCGTCGCATGTCCGTCCTTGTCCAGAGCCCAGTCCGAAGGAATTGGCTCTCCCCTTCTTTTCGCTTTATAGATCTTTCCTCTTGCCGCAATAGACGGCGCCATGTCGAGAATGAACGGAGTTTCATTCCCAGGTGCGCCACAAGCTATCGGCGACACGCCTAGTAGTTTGGACTTTCCTCCCCATGCCGGCAAAGCAGGACTGGAATTGGTAAAGACCAGACTCATCATGTCAGCATCCAAAGCTTTCTGAACCACCCATGCACTCATTCCAAAATGATTGGAATGCTTGACGCTGGCCATTCCAATCCCAAAGACCTACATGTGTTTTCTTAGCGTTGATCTTACAAAATGGGAGGCGTTCACCTCACCCTAGCAGACTCAATAGCGGCAGCCATGGCCACGTCTGCAGCCACGAAGCCCCATCCATTTCTCCCATCAACTTGAGCTACCACAGGTGTGATCTGCTTGACTTCCGGTGTTGCCGTGCCGTCTAGGACCCCCTGCCGGACGCGCTCGAGATACGAAGGAATCCGGTTCATCCCGTGTGTGTCCACCCCACGCAAATCTGCTGCAATGAGACAGCGTGCAACAATCTCCGCGTTGTTTTGAGGAACTCCGTTTCCCGTAAGCACTTCTCGCACAAATCTCTCCGCTTCATCTGCCGCTACAAAGATCTTGGTGTCTGACGCCGGTTGGGCCATGTTTACGGGCGAAATATCTTGAACAGGTGAAGTCTCTCGGTGCAAAGAGCGATGAAAAAGATTCAGAAGATGATTTTTTTTCTTCTCTTGCAGGTGCTGAGCTATGCATACATGTACATACAGTCATACTCTTATAGAGTCAATTCCATGAGTCACTTACCCGCTTTTGGCGCGGATTCTTTTCCGATGACCAATCGGACTAGTATCTGGCCCTAGTGGCATGGAAAAGCACAACCAGCTACATTGAACGTTGGAAATATTGCGGCTTCTCACATACGGCAGAACACGAGGGTACAATAGGGCAATTCTGAAGCTGGCTTGAAATATACCAGTTCAAGTATGCTACTATCTTGCACCTCAATATGGATAGGTTTACGTTTTTGGGTTGGAAAACTGATAAATCTAGCATATTTTACTTCGATATAGAACCTTTGCATATTCAGTGTCATGTGAGAAGGTGCCGCATGACATTTCCAAAGGTCTTTGTCATCCGAAAGGCCCCAAAATTAGAGCATTTAAAATCAGCGTTCGCACTTGGTTCATCGAAATAGGCCTGGTGCTCACACTTGCTAAGCGCAGGCCGCCAAGGCAGGATATCATCAGCGTAAAAACACAGAATGGTTACAGAACCGTGATTGCAGATAACTCGCAAACGCAGGATGTCGCTATACCAGTCCAGTTCGAAGATGCCTCGGCAACTGTATCTGCATCCATTCTAAGTAATGTGCCCACCTTCTTGTTAACATCCCCTCTAGTAGCAGCAATTTCTAACACTTGCAAAAAAGGTGCGAATAAGGACTTTGCTATCTAGCCCCAGGGCACATTTACAGAAAATCTCCGCGGCTTCCAACTTAACCTCTGTATGCAGGATGCGAAAAACGCTTAGGGAAATAGTCGCCAGTGCATGGCGGTTACTAAGACACAATCTCCGATCAGGCAAATTCATTGACTTCATGTTTGCCTTATCGGAGCAATCATTATCACATCTCTGTATACACAAGGGTGTTCCTTGACCAAGTAGCAACAAATACCATGATTAGCCTAGTAAGCCCTCAAATAGTCGTATTAAAGGGCATAGAACACGCACGGCAATCTGTAAAGATACGTCATCCAATCGTTCTCATCCCTGGTATTACCCTCAGTCGTAAAAACACAGCCCCGCTACCCTGCAGAACAAGGATATAATGATTTTATACGATATCTGCCTGCGGGATTATACCTGATTCCGAACGAGGTAAATGACCTATTATATGGTATGTCCGTTTTCCTCGTCGGACATCTTGGCATTTCCGCCTTTGGAACATCAGCAACGAACACAGCAAGAATGGCTATCCACGCTTAGTATACGAACAATCCGCATGTCGGGCACTTTGAATGCGATGCTGCCATCTTATACATTCTGCGACAATATTTTCAAATGCGAATACAAAGTATATTTCGAAAAAGTATCCAGATGAACCGGGTGTGTGTGTGTGTGTGTGTGTGTGTGTGTGTGTGTGTGTGTGTGTGTGGTGAAATTGCGGTCATTTGTTTGACAACGCTAGTAGTAGACCCAGCCCGAAGGTCCGATCCGGTCTTCTTAGTTTTCCGAAACAGCGATGGCAACGAACATCAGCCGCAGTTAGCTCTCAGCCGCAGTTAGCCCTTAGCCTCAGTGCACAATTCCCAAAGGTTAAGTTATCCAGTACGATGTACTTAGAAGTATCTGTATATATAGGGCAGGAGCGCCAGAGGGGATGTTTACCAGCACACTCGAAAGCATCCACAATCTTCCAAACACTTGTTCTATTCCTTAATTGACTGCATTCATCATGGGACTCTCCAGGCCTTCTTCCCTATCACGATATAGCTCTATGCTACTTCTTATACCCTCCATCATAGCTCTTGTTTCTGCAGCAGCTGTGCCCGAATCAGTTGATGTCGCTGTCATTGGCGCAGGCCTGGCAGGTCTAACAGCAGCGCGCGATCTTCTCAAGGCAGGCAAATCTGTCCTTGTTCTCGAAGGGAGAGACCGTGTCGGCGGCAAAGTCTACAATAAACCGTTGAAGAATGGTGGTGTCACAGAAGTCGGTGCCGAGTTCGTGGGTCCAACTCAGGACAAAGTACTTCAAATGATTGCCGACCTTGGACTGGAAACATTCGACACCTACATTGAGGGCGAGACGGTACTGTACCTCAACGGCACAAGGTCAACTTACAACCCGGACCCCCAACTTGGTGGTGCACCGCCGCTCGAAGAAGCAGCACTCGTACAGATTTCCACTACGAGAACTCAGTTGGACGCTTGGGCAGCTGAGCTGAATGTCAGCGCACCTTGGTCGCACTCGAAAGCATCTGAGTGGGACAGTATCACCTTTGATCAATATCTGGATACATTACACCTTGTGCCGGACGCTAGATTCGCACTAGTCACGTTCTGCAAATCCATTTTTGCAGCAGAGCCACATGAGCTCTCGCTGTTGTATCTCCTGGCATACGTCGCCGCTGCCGGAAACGAGACGACGGTCGGAAACTTGGAAAGATTGATTGCTACAAAGGGAGGAGCTCAAGAAAAGCGAGTAGTGGGTGGTACAGGCTTGATCCCGGAGCGTCTGGCTAAGAAGGTGGGCACTGAGCATATTGCTTTCAACGCGGGTGTCTCCCAAATCACCAGGACCTACTCTGGTTATGACGTTGAGTCGCGCGCCGGCAAGGTCCACGCAAAGAGGGTGGTACTCGCCATGTCGCCCCCACTCGTTAATCAGATCAGGTTCCAGCCGGAGCTTCCCGGAAGTCGCCAGCATCTGAATTCCGATACCAGAATGCCCGCGATCGGAAAGGGTATACCAATCTACAAGACACCTTTTTGGCGTAAAGAAGGGTTGAGCGGGCAAGTCCTTTCTAACTCTGGCCCCGTGCGAGTGACTTTTGATAGCACTCCCGAAGACACTTCTTTCGGCGCAATCCTCGGCTTTATCCTTGGAGATCAGATGCGAGCTCTTGACAAACTCAGCACGGAAGAAGCCCAGACGCAGATCCTGGATACCTTTGCGAAGTACTACGGCGAGCAAGCGAGAAACATTACAGAATTCGTGCTTCAACGCTGGGACTTGGAGGAGTTTTCGAGAGGCGGACCAGTCGCCATTGCTCCACCGCATGTCTTGACCAACTATGGTTCGGCGCTGAGGGAGAGCGTTGACGGTATCCATTTTGCCGGCACAGAAACGAGTGAGTATTGGGTCGGATACATGGATGGCGCGATTCGGAGCGGTGAGCGGGTTGCTAAAGAGATTCTGGGTAGTACCTAGACATCAAGCCGGGCACGGCCGGGTGAGACGGAACCTCCGCTTTCGCTTGCGCAGGAACCCGTCTTATCCTTTCCTTATTTTAAACTGTTCATAGATAGACAATGGATTAGACTGAGCCGTCAGATTGATTTTTAGTAATGGATTAGCGTTATTCTGGTTAAACTTCCTTGTGTGTATCTAGGCGTGTTTGCGTTGATGGTATTTTGAGCAATTCCATGGCATAGTGAAAACCCATTCACCCATAATCGGTTCTGATCAGATAATGTGAGAGTTCGAATGGCAATGCTTTACTGCAGCCTTAATGCTATGCTTCGGGTCAGCAATCAAGATCAAAGCTGCCAAGGAAAAGGCGCGACAAAGATGGGATTTCGAAGCAGACAAAGTGACACATGTCGTACTATCTAACATTGGGTTATCTCAGCTTGTACAACTAGTTTTCCGATGTCAACAGAAAAACAAAACAAACCATGGATGAGGTCATTTTTCCCAAGGACACGGTCGTCTCCGCGGTCTAGGACGCGCCTAGCAACGCCAGTGGCGCTCGACGCATGAGGTCATCGTCACTACTCAGCTTCTTGCTCCCTGATCTGCAACTTCCCTGCACCACATCATCTCTTTCTTATTTGGCTGGTTCTTGCTACCCTGGTTCAAACTTTCCGCTATCTACTAACTTTCACGGACTGATCTTGCGAAACGAACGATAGACCGAAAATGGGTTGCGGAAGCAGCAAAGAGAAGAATGCGAGTAGGCCCACGGAGATGGCGCGTCCGGTACAACTGGATACACCGGGACAGCACGACGTAAATATTCCTGTAGCTGGCGAGGGTGCGACAGTCAAAGCAAGACGGTCTCCGGACAATCCGATAGTATACTTTGACATTGCCATTGGAGGCGAACCGATCGGACGCGTACAAATGGAGCTATTCCTCGACGTTGTGCCCGCAACATCGGAGAACTTTAGGCAGTTTTGCACTGGCGAGTGCAAAGTCGGAGGATACACGGGTAGCACTTTCCACCGTGTTGTAGGTCATACTCATATAAGAAACCCGCAAACTATTGGCTGACAGCAAGCTAGATCCCCAATTTCATGATTCAAGGCGGCGATTTCATGAGGGGTGACGGTACCGGTAGTGCCAGTATCTTCGGTAGCGAATCATTTGACGATGAGAACTTCCAACTCAAGCACACCCACCCTGGGCTGCTGAGTATGGCGAACTCTGGGTAAGTCGATTACTGTAGTACGCAACAGATACGTGTGCTGACTCGATTGTTGCAGACCCAACAGCAATGGCTCCCAATTTTTCATCCTGACCGCTGCTACACCACACCTGGACGGGAAGCATGTCGTCTTTGGCGAGGTCCTGGATGGCATGGATGTAATTCGGAAGATTGAATCGACCAGAACTGGCCCAGGGGATAAGCCGCTCAGTGAAGTTGTAATTGCAGGTGCTGGTCAACTTGCAGGCGCAAAGCCATTGGAAAGCTGAGTGGTAGTTAGGGCCGGGAAGCGTGTGGGAAATACTAGTTTTCGGTACTTTTGATCTAGCGCTGTTTCTTTCAAAATCGATGGGTGAGCTGCGTAATTTGTCTACTTTAGTGGAGAAATCTTTTCGGTTAATATAGATGGCATCGTTGCCCAAAATGGGCTGGACAGTATTTTAGACGTTCTACTCTAGTTGTATGTGCGTTGCTGCTCGCATTGTACAGGTTCAACCAAGGGAACTCCGGCCGATGCAGGAGGGGGGCAGCTCTGAAGATTGCAATACTAGTAACACCATCAACATCTCATCTAGTATGCGAACTAGATGAATTTTGCAAGTACCTCGATAAATGCTACCATTGAGTCACATGTATGAATCCTATAATGGAATTGAAAACAACATACAAAAGTCAGACGTATGCTTGGCTTCACCCGGTACCGCTGTGCATCGTACGACAGCCAAGACTCCCCCGCCGTCTCTACGGGAATCATCACTTGCATACGCTGACACTTCGGCTAACATTCCGTAGTTCCCTCCGCGACATCACTTGGCGCGGCTAGCTGTGCGAAATAGCATGGTCCTGTGACCTCGGCAGCACCTCCGATATTGTCGGCAGTTTTAATGATACCGACAGGAGCCCCAAGCCACTGTCAGCCGCTGTCCCAGCGGGAGGCGGCATGCCAAGGGTGGGAGGCGCCATGCCAAGTGCGCTATCAAACATGGCGCTGAACTAGGCTTTTTTGGCTGAGAAACTACAGTGCTTAGTAGAAGGACGGTTGATCTGCCTGTTTTTCACAAAGGAAAGCATTTGCAAAACGGGCGGTGAATTTGAAGTCAGAAAGTTATTCATTCGTGCCATGCCGTTATGAAAGATATTCCGACCTCTCTCGGCGACCAAGGAGTTATTATGAGGTCTTTGAGATATCAAAGATCCCGCCCCTCGAGCCGCCGATCGCGCGTCTTACCTCTTGACGGCTTCTATTGTTTCAATACCATACTCCTTTTCTCCCATCGTATCTAATCCCTTGCTTCTCGCAACAACCTCCTCCTGGGTAAGGATGGGCTTGCCACGAAGTTGTGCCCATACCGCCTTGTGCATTGGACGCATGAAGAGCGCGTCCATTTCCTCCAAACTGATACCCTTTGTCTCGGGTACGAAGAAGAAACTCCAGATACCCATGCCAACAAGGATAGAGGCGAAGAAGAAATATGCGCCATAACCTAGGTCAGAAATCATGTAGGGAGTGCTTCGGGCGATGATGAAAGAACCAAGCCAGGTATCGGCAGTGGTAAGCGAGACGCAGAGCATACGGATATCCAAGGGGAAAATCTCGGATGCGTAGGTCCAGGTGATACCTTGCCATGTAGCGCAAATGATAAATGCGTTGACGTATACGCATACCATGGCCAGGTAGCCCCAGCCATTTCGTGAGACATCTCCTCTGAGTGCAGCACCGGCTGGATCTGCCTTCATGACGTAGCCACCGATGTACCACATTGGAATGCAACCAAGAGCAGCACCCCAGATCAAACCCTTGCGGCGACCAACCTTCTCAACGACCCAGAAGGTGAAGGTGAACATGCCAAGCGTCTTTGCAATGCCGTAGAAGCCGGTAGAGAAGAGCTTAAGCGATGTACCTGAAATACCGAGAGTCTCGAAGATGCGTGGTGCGTAGTAGGTAATGATGTTTACCTGAGTATGTCAGTTATGCCATCTTTGTTGGTTCCGCACATTTACTTACGCCAGTGAAAGATTGCAAGAACATGAGGGCAAGTCCAATCGCCATGCGGTTTCGGACACCCTTTTGGAAGAGCTTCATAAACTGGTCCTTCTTGCTCTTGCGGTTGGCACTGCGCTCCTCAACCTGAGCACGGATCTCGCTCATCTCGTGTTGAATGTAAGCATGTGATTCGTCAAGGCAACGAATCTTGCATAGAATGTTTTGTGCGCCTTCGAAGTTGTCCTTCTTGGCAAGGTAACGAGGCGATTCAGGGCACCATGCGACACCGAGAAGGAGCAGCAATCCAGGAACAAGCTGAATGGCAAGTGGGACGATCCACTGTGTCTTGGAGTTGACATCGATGGTTCGATCGGCAGCATAGTTGATCCAAAAGCCAAGCATACCGCCACCTTGGGACGCTATCTCAAAGATACCGACCAGTCGGCCACGGATTGAGGGTGGAGCAGTTTCAGAAATATATACAGGTACCACCTATGAAAATCAGTATTTTCTCTGCACAGATAATGTACTGTTGTCAATGCTTACCATGGATGAAGCGCCAATGCCTAGACCGGCTATAGCACGGCCACCATAAATCATGTTCAGTTTACCTTGGGATGCAGTCATGAGCGTACCGCCGAGTAGGAAGATGGAAGAAGCTATTATCATTGTCTTTTTGCGCCCAATGCGCTCGGCAAAGGGAAACGCGAAGATTGCACCAAAGAAGCAGCCAGCCTGGAAAGTAGAGACGATGTTTCCCTGAATGGTATCACGATTTGCTTTGGGGATACCATTGAGGCCAAAGTCTCGAATGAACGAGTTGAGAGCCATGGTACCGCCAATGACGGCCGTATCATAACCCACTGCATCTGTGTCAGTATTCCAAGCACTGACAAGAAAGACTAGAGATAGTTACTGGCTAGCGCCGACATGGACGCGATAAGGGCAATGGTGTGGATCCGCCAATTGCGGACCTCTGGTGGGTCTAAGGTCCCCGAGGCATGAGTGTTAAAGCAACCCATATGTTAGATGGCAGTGAACTTGTTGGACGGAAAGATGAATGGAGTGATATGGCTAGACGCCTGATTGTGGAATTTCGTGGACAGAAGGACTGGAGGCAGCTTTATGCCCGTGGGCCTCGTCTCGAAAGCAACATGGCCAAGTCCGCTACCGTGAGACTACTACGAGGTGCGCTACTGCCTTTCCCCGCGGGGAAATACTTGGAGGCGAAAATCGTTCCACCATGCACCCAACACCTGCTGTTCCAAGCCATCGACGACACTGTGGCAGCGAATCTGGGCGGAGGCGTGCTTGGCCGCTGACCAGGTGAAGCCTTGCCGATGGTTGGCATTTGCAATAGCGAGAAGCGATAGGCGGGCGCCTGCGCGAAGGCTGCATGGGATGAGCTTGGCAGGCTGGCATTTTTCAGACGACGTTATGGTGAGAATCGACAGTTCGGCACAGGCACGTGACCTGTGCGGGGTAAAGCGGGTCGCCCCATGGAGGGAACGGCACGCCTGTTTTGACGACCGTTGTCGGACATGCCGATCCATCTGAGGTTACACTACACACACAATCCTCCGTCCCCAGCGCCTCTTACCACATACCCCGATGCTGATCACCCGAAAAAAACTTGGTCATCCAGTACTTTGAACGTAGCACCGTGTCACAACTCTCGACATTGCGAACACCTCTGGGCTGCCAACGCCCACATTGTATGCGATCCTCCTCCTTCTAGGCTCACCTCTGTCTCCACGCACTCTTGGTCACGGGATGGATAAAGACTTCCAGTTATCTGCATGCTATCTCAAATCCAGCCGCTTCCAAGACGATAATAAAGCGGGACGACTAGCCAAGATGCGGCGAAACAGCGAGTGCTAAGGAGTCGTTGTGCTCGGTAAAGTCGGCCGTGCACACCTTTACGGTCATTTTCCCGGCTTTCCCTGCATCGCAAGAAGTCTTAGCTAAGGTGTACAGCTTGGCCATGATACCAGCGCGGCCGGAAACAGCACACCCTCTTGGTGTACTCTTACTCATACTCATCTCCTAATGTCATGTTTTGTTCACGCGCGAGTAGCAAGTCCCAGCATCAAAGTTACTCACTATCATATTGGTCCTGCAGCCGATGAGGCTCTTGGGGATGTGGTGAATCGAGTCGTAATATATCTGCGGATCCATTTGATACTGCTCTCGTGGTGGATCATATCAGACCACGCGACACACTTCAGCGGCTGGGATACTTGCGTGGGGCCATCTGTCCCTTGGCAACATTGCTAACATGTATTTCATCAGCCCGAATCCCTACTTACTCGCAACTTCCGAAAATAGTGGGCGGAATTGGTGGACGTTGACAGGTATTCGCCTCGAAACACAGATTCAACCAAGCGCCAAGATATACACAAGACTAGGGAAAAACGTCGTATCGACCGGTCTAAACGCTAATAAGATATGCACCGTCTCGATAACAGGATCTCGGGTTCGATAACCGTGTCATTCCCCGCACGCACAGACACTTGTACCCCAGGCTAAATACTTAGCTGCCCGAGCTTTGGATCCTTCACATGTGTTGGGCTAACGTAGTCTTGGGTTATTCATAGCCCAGTTGCCTGATTATGTGGGGTAGCATTGGACTATAACAACGTACCGCCAGCCCAGGCTGTACGATATCTATTTAGTTTCACCTACCTCGGCTCGGATTCATAATCCAGATGGTTCTCAAAGTGTATAGCTTTGCTATGCTGGGTCCATGCGCCCTGACTAACGTCTAAGGAAAAAGCTACTTTATCAGCCCACCCACGTTGACGTGGCAAAAGAACAGCAGAGAAGTGGCGAGTACAGAGAGATCCGACGATCTGATGGAATTCCGGTCTTGGATGATTATGAAATTATCATGTAAGAGAGCCGAGCTATTAACAAGTATCTTGGCAAGTAAGCCCACGAATCGATGTCAGAATAAGGCCTGATCAAGTTTTTGCTCACCTATCAGAAAACACTGGCTAATCAGAGGCATTTCGTTGGTGATGAAGTCACTTTAGCTGACATATCCAATCTACTCAAGGGATCAGCTATGAAGGCTGGAAGTGGAATTTCATGTCCGTGAGGTATCCAATATGTCGAATAGTAGTTGAACGAACTAGAGGCAAGGAAGTCTTTGGTAATAACTTCGACAAAGGTAGTACCATGTAAAGGTTAGAGATGGATATTAGCTTCCAGTATCATAATTGCTTCTAGTGATCAACTGATTATAGTATCTAGGTGTAGTACTGAGCACTTCAATTTGCAACAGAACAACTCTTTGCAACTTTATGCTGTCTGGGTGTACTAGATTTGATCTGGATCTGAGACCAGACTATTGGCTGGATCTGCTCCATAGTACAAGTATAGGCTGATAGCCATAGTTGTTCTATATGTTTTCGATATCCTCTCGTACTAGGCCTATGACTTCAATTGTTTATTATTCGTTTGACGTATGGCATATCAGAGGAATATTTCTTATGTTTTTTCTTTTCTTTTTTTCTTTTTAGAAAAGGACAACAGGCCGCACTCCAACCTATCAGCATCGGGTACTGAAAAAAAAGACTTTGCAGTCAGAGTAAAGATTCGAATGAGATGCCTGTAGGTACTAAAGCCTCTGGAGTTTCGGCTCCGAGATCTCATTAAGCGAAGCCCCACTTTCGAACCCGAAAAGGGTCATCTGGTACTCCTGTATACACAACTGTAGGCCTGTAGGTATCCATTTGAATCAAGGTTCTTCTGCTGTTCCATGCACTCCCATGTGCCTCTGAGTGACACTATTGCCGATACTGACCCGAGTAGTCTTGCCTGCGCCGTTACAGTAGCTACCATGTGTTTCAAGCTAATCATCTCTCATTCATTCAGAAGCTCTTTTTTGCTACAATTGGCAAGGGATGACCGACAGGATGAAAGGTTACTTTAGTAGCAACATATCCTATGATACGGTTTGAGCGCTATCGTCTCAGTATGAAATTCTGGCTCTTGTCAGGTTGCAGACCCAATTGGACTGTACTCAGTGCTCCGCCACAAATCCACAACCCTGCTATGCAGCAGGTGTTGACTATTCTTTCTGTACGATTACCCGTACATCTGACCTCTGGTATGGGCTCGATAAGGCTGGATGAAGTACTGTAGTAATATTTTTCCATCGCTGAGTTGATCTGGCGAACCTCAGCATCTCTCACGGGATTACATCAGGGTGCTGTACCTGCACAAATCTCCTTCTAAAGAACCACCTTCCAAAGCTTCGGTATCAGGTCCTTCACGGCTGCCCTTCACCTAAGTAGTCGCTGTTGTGGAGGCTGTGCAAGCTCAGCTGGCCATTGGTGATGCCAACTCCGCGGCAACCCACCCGGGCTACAGCCTGCAAGATAAGTCGCGCACGAGGACGCTATGAAACACTTAGAAGATATCGCAGTAGGTCTAGATCGGCGATGCCAAATCCTGTCGAGAGTATGCGCTCCAAATACTGGTTGATGCGCTCGAGAAAGTCAACATACCTATTACGAAGGCTGAGCTTTGCCAAGTAGGGCTTTGAGGTCCTTGATCAGCTGCGGCTTATTTCTAGAGCATCATACGTCAGATCTTTCTCGAGACAAGGCGATTTCAAGTTTATTGTCCCAGAATGCTGGGCGCGATACTACCAGCTCTCAGAAGCGACATAGCACAATTTAGAGTGGGCAGTCTGCGAGTTGCCCACCCCATCCCCCTCGAACGAAATCGTCTCAACTGCTCCCAACACCTGGGCAGCACCAAGCTGCCTCGTACTCAAGTATCGTTGCTAAGAGCTGTCACCAAAAACCAATCCCACACCACCTCCAGCGAGTATGATCACGCCGATACGAAGTGCAGTCAAGCGCATCTTGTTCATCCTCGTACTGGCCATATCGATCACAAGCATCGTCCTCGGCTTTGCGTCCAAGAACAAGGAGTGTGCTCTACACAAAATCTCAGGAAGTTCATTGCCATTGATCACCGACATGTATGTGCTTTTTCCTACCCCGTGCTGCTGCCTGTTCACTCCGTTCAGTCTCCTTGCGATCTGGGTACTCTTCGGCGTTCTATACACCAGCATCACACATCGTTACACGCAGTCAAAGCCTTTGTAAGCCGTGACTGTAACTCCTATGCTGTCTTAGTATTGACCACCATCAGCCGGGCAGCCACCAACCTAGCTACCGCACTCCTGATGACCGCCTTCTTCACATCGTACCTCAAGTTCGACCTTTCTGACTGGCCCATCTGGGGCCCACTCGCTACGGTTCTCGGTGTTGTTGCTAGAGCAGGTATGGAAGCAATCTACAGCAGTGCTGACTGCGACATGGTGAAAGGCTTCTGGAATAGCCATGCGATGACATGCCTTCAGCGGTCCCGCTCCGTTGAGTAACGTCCCATACTCCTCTTGGTTGGTCAATGCGCGAGCAACCCTCGTCCCGTCCCTGCTATGACGATTAGCTGTCAGGATGCCCCGGCCCGAACCGAACGCCACACTGTTTACTGCGCCTTATTAGCCACCTCCGCCTTCCTCCGCAACGATTATATGTACAAAACGACCAAAATTCTGCCATCCCCGCGCGTTACTCACCCGGCCATATTCATGTGCGCACAGGTCGCGAGTGGCCTCTTCTCTTCTTCACTTCTACGTTACCCTTACAGCATCAGCATCTATCCATGATTTCACGACTTTAAAAATTCAGCACACCGTTGGAAGAGCATTTCGTACAGTTGCATGGAACGGCGTTTGCCTCGGTCTCTTTGAGAATTTTAGCATACCGATGTCTCGGCACATGGTCATGTTCTGTATTTTAGCGATTTCATTTGCATGCCATCCTGGTACCGTTAGAAAGGAGCTGGGCTTGGCTAGATATGTTTCTCTTGAGACATAGATAGCTTCGCTGCTGGTTAAAATAACAATAAATATCAAAACTGCATCTACTCCGTTTGATTGCAGTGATTGCTCGCTGTAAGCATTGATAGGCTATTCGAAGATCAGTCGTGGTACAAGGCAAGGTACCCTCTTCTCAGACTTAGGTCTACACTTCCGATAGTGCTAATATAGGCCAGCGATACATACTGTTAGGAAGCTAGAGGTTACATTAGCTGCTCTACACTCGTCAATAAAAAAATAGCAGTGCAGGTAGACTTCAAGATTAAGCAGGGCTTACGTTATATCATCGATACTTACCTAAACCAAGAAGCTTAGCGTTGTCGCACTGCTATAGTACTTACGGGAAACAACATTTACACTCTTTTCTTAACCGTATAAGGATAATTTTAGAAAAGCCAAGTTAAGACAGTATACTTATAATAATTTCTATTATATTTTGGCTGATATATCACGTCTTTAATACAATGACCCCGCTGTGTAACTGAAAAGTTAAGTGGAAAAATATTACAAAAATAATCTAAAAACATACGACAGCGGGGATTCGCTAGTGGTCACCCACCTAACTACTAATCCGCCGGTAAACTGCTTATATATGCCAGATCGGACGGGATGGCTAGCTCTCAGTTTCCAATGGTCGTATGTGCCAGTAAAAATAGGGTTTGTACATCAAATCCGCATTTTTGAGATTTAGGATATGGTTAGGGCTAGGGTTAGGGTTAACGTGATGCTAACCCTAACATCCAACATCACGACACGATACACGCCAAAACCGCACCACACTCGCTATCTGCACACGACCGGTCACTTTCGAGCGCGCTAATACCACCAGAATTTCATGGAGAGAAGGTTGAATCGCTGTTTGGGAGATGCGCCAGGGGGGGGGGGGGGGGTCAGAGCCTCTGTGGGTCTCAGGGACGACGGATTCATCATCATACGCATACCTCAGATATATCTAGTTTGTAGCCATCTTGATAACAAATAAAGAATGAGCAACTAATCATCTATTGTTATATCACCCGTACCATGGCGCAAGAAAGCCTACCAACAGCTATGCTTCTAGAACTTTTGAAACTCCAACTTAGGCGCACTGACTAAAACTCGATATAAGTGTAGCTAGCTCGTCGAGCCACTGTGCAACCGTTTCGCGAGCGTAGAGTGTGCTGTCTGCCCTAATCTCCACTTTTAGCTGATGTCCTATTGGACTCGCCAGAATGACAACCGCCTCATCGATCTTTTTTGGCTTTGGGGCTGTTCCCACTACAGAATTGCAAGCGACAAGAAGTACCGGCAACCAACTCCTTGCCATCGCTCCCGATACAGATAAAGTTGTCTTCGGCGCCAATGTCGAGGTCGAGGTCGCGGTCGCGAGGGAGCACCGATATCTATAGGTTCTGGAGCAGACTCTCTTTGGTCGTGATGGGCTGGCGCTTCTGCTTCTGCTTTTGCCTCTGCTTTTGTTTGCGCACGGCGAGCTGTTTAGCACCAATGGCCCGCAGCTTCCGCTGGTCAGTTTTGCCATTCCCCTTCAACGGAATGTGGTCGACGGCCATGTATGTAGACGGCATCATGTAAGTAGACAGGACATGGGCTAGGAGTCTGTCGACATGGACCTCGTCCATGTCGAGGTCGAGATTGCGCGCTTGGATAAAGGCAACCAGGCTGCCACCCAGCACATCAGCTACCACGGCCTCTGCATTGAGGGCGCGACGGACGTGGTACTCGATATCGGCAAGCTCAACGCGCTGGCCACGGATCTTGACCTGTGCATCGCAGCGGCCAATGTAAATGAGAGAGCCGTCAAGATTGCGGCGCACCAAGTCGCCAGTCTAGTATAGCCAATAGAGATAAGTAGACAAGTCAGTCCGCTGCCGCCAAGGTAAAATCGCTACTAATGCATCATCGATAAGAGACGATTCAAAGTATCTCTACCCACCTCTTGGCAACCCAACTATACACCTACCTCTACCCATTTACCACCGTAAATAATCTTATTTAAGAATACTAAACTTTTAGTTTCTAATAGTCACCTATGCTGCCAAAATCGAAATGAGAGTATGTTATTATTGAATAAATAAGAATATAAGAGACAGGCCAGGTATGATTGTTCAAGGGTGCTCACGTGATGCTATCGATAACTCCAACACAGTAGCTTAGTACTGCCGCACTACCGCAATACCACACGCGCGGGGGAAGATATTTTTATTCTTTCGCACATTGTATACAGATCGTTGAAAAATGAAAAAGAAGCTACATGATGTATTATCGGCACTGCAGAATCTTCCCATGCTCGGAGTTAGGTATGTAAAGGAGTAGATGCGGAGTTCGCCCATTACAATTATATGCAAGAGAGATACAATAGAGAAGGATTGGTTCTATGTAATCGAGAAGCTTGGAATTTTTGCGAAATAGCTCTTGGAGAGCCTACGAAGACTGGTGATAGTAGACGCATATCTCTCGCTTTCGCGGCCGACGAACAGTTGATTCCCATCGGTTGGCACTTCTCAAAGTACGCAAGGCAGATTGGTCGCAGCATCAGAGGTGAGTGAGCAATAGTACGGCATGGGGTATGCACGCTGTAGGGCTCTTGGCGGGGTAATGAACGGGGAACGCGGGGCCCAAGCTTCAGCCCACTCGAAGCTGATAGCTCTACCATTCCGTACCGCACCTAACAACTAGGCAGCACTCTCAGCCTTCACCCGCCTTGATGGTATTTAGTCCTGTCATTCGGACATCACAACGACTACAACGACCCATGGCCAGCGCATATTACCTCGCAAAAAGCTCATCAACTCGCTCTCCCACAAGGATGGCAATCACGTCTCTTGACGAGATTCCAACCTTGTCGCTGCTCTATAAACTCAAAAAGATAGAACCCGAGAATAGGCAGCCTAAGGGTATACCGTCTACCACTCTCAACGACAAAATCAGCATAATTCGACAAGACATAACGACCCTCGCTGTTGATGCCATCGTAAACGCCGCGAACTCGAGTCTTTTGGGTGGCGGCGGAGTGGACGGTGCAATCCACCGTGCGGCTGGGCCCAAACTAATTGAAGAATGCGAAACACTCAACGGGTGTGAGACTGGCAGTGCCAAAATCACCGATGCATACGAATTGCCATGCAAGAAGGTCATCCACGCCGTCGGACCAATATACTGGAAGGTGGGATCTAGCGCAGCGGAATTGCTGTCCGGTTGCTACCGAAGGAGCCTCGAGCTGGCTGTCGAAAACGGTTGCAGAAGCATTGCGTTCGCTGCTATAAGCACTGGTGTCTACGGATATCCAAGCCACGAGGCCTGCAGCGTTGCGCTAAAGACAGTTCATGACTTTTTGGTCAAAGAAAGCAGTGCCGAGAAGCTCGACCGAGTCATCTTCTGCAATTTCCTCCAAAAGGACGAAGATGCTTATTTCGAGCAGGTTGCGTATGCGACTCTTCTATGAATTTTCATTACTTGATACTGACTATCGTCGTAGTGACTACTTCCCTCCCGTCTCCGAGTCAGAGCTTCAGGAAGAGCACGCTACCGAGCCTCATGCGCTAGCGTCACAGCTTCCGGATGCTCCGACTATCGATCCTGCAGAGGCAGCAGACTCGGAGCAGCCATCATCCAAGAAGCAGAAAACTGCTGAAAGTGACGACGAATTTGTAGTGGTGGACAAGCATGATATTGAGAATGACATGTCCAAATCGGGATTGTAGAGCACCGGAACGATGTGGCTTGTCTACTGGGAACCCTATGCGTACTATTACCGGAATGATGTGATGTAAAGGGTCATTTAGGTGCAATAAGCATTATCGTCTCTAGTGTACGAGGTAATTATACCTACTTCTTGTATTACAAAATTAAGATACAAGTATTACTTTAATAGGTTATGATATATTCTGCGTGTCATCTTATACTCCAACTCTAAAGTATATATTGTTCTTCACATATGTGATTGATCTCTTGAAAGAACTAATCTTTAACATGACTTCACAAAACGATCACAATGGAAATCTCTACCGATACTACTTCGAGCAGGACTATTGTTAGTCGCACTACTGCAGATAAGATACAACTAGACCTAAGAGAACTAGCGCCGACGAGAACAGATGTTGTTCTTCTGCTGTCCACGCTAGTACTTATTGATTACTTCCAGAACTATGTGCGGGGTAAATATGGCTTAGAGACAACGCTTCTTGTTATTCAAGACGTTTACGGTCTCGCCACTCAAGAAACACCTGTAGCTATCTGCAAAATTCTTTGGCCCACTATTACCGATACCACCAATCATGTCACGACGATTTTTCACGGACTCTGCCCTGCCTCCTAGAAACAATGTGGGTTATTTCACAAAGATAGTCGCCAAACACTTTTTTGTTGACGTTCCCAAACGGATACTTTCCTCTTCTGAGCAAGAGTCTCCGGCCTTCACCTTGGATAGCAACCACAGTGTGCTTGCAAAACTGGACAAAAAACGAAATACCATTACGACGAGCTCCTATTTATATACCGCGTTGCCTAACCCTATGGAAGATTGTAAATACATTCGCGTCATAGAGCTGCTTCCTGGAACGCGACAGGACGATATCGCATGCCGGCTTCTGCAAGCAGAGCTGCGGGAGGGGTTGAAGTACGAGGCACTATCTTATGTCTGGGGAGATATGAGTCAGACGACGCCTATCCAGGTGGACGACCTGACCTTGCAAATCGGCGAAAGCTTGCGTTCAGCTCTACTGGACCTTCGGCGCCCTACCGAGTCTCGCATTTTATGGGCGGATGCAATCTGTATTGATCAGAGCAACATACACGAACGCGCGAAACAAGTCGGCATCATGGGTGACATTTACACACAAGCTACGCGCACAGTTGTTTGGCTCGGACCGTCGTATGAGTATGTCAACCTCGCCTTCGATTGCATCACAACTTTGGAAAGCGAAGCCCTTGCACACCAGCAGTCTAGCGGAGAAGCTAAGGCTTCAACAAAATCATCTTTAGATGCTTCGCGAACTAAAAAGGAACGTGAAGACTTGCGTCATGGCTGCTATATCCTCGGAGAATTGGCTCAGGTGGATTGGTGGACACGTGCTTGGGTTGTGCAGGAAGTATGTCTCGCGTCTGAAAAGATCATCATGTGCGGCCAATACCAAGTGGACTGGAAGCGTTTCATGAATGCTGTAGAATACGGAACACTCGAGAACAAATTTGACTCGAGAATAGGTGGGATCCCCGATGACTGCTTGGAAGGTCTTCAGTCCATCAAAGAACTCGAGGATAAGCCATTGGAGGGTGGCATAGCAGGGCAATTGCTTCGACTACTGACGTCCCTGAGACCGAGATTGGCAACAAATCCTCGCGATAAGGTATTTGCAATCATGGGGCTGCTAAAGGGTAATCGTCAGGACCTGCATATCGTGGTAGACTACACCGCTTCCGTAAAAGAGGTCTACCGTGCAACGGCAGTGGAAATCATACGAAGGACCGATAATCTCGATATGTTCAGTCATTGTATCCACACTGAGGCCCCAAGCGAGGAGGAAGCTTGCTTGCCTTCTTGGGTCCCCGATTGGAACATCTCAGAAACAATGTGTATGCCCTTGATACGAAATGACTTTGACGAGTTACGGCGTTACGAAGCTACCTCGGACTCGACAGCGCATGCTCAGTTCTACGATGACCCAGATGTCGTGGGTGTGACTGGTCAGCTTTTAGATGTCATTGCTGAATACAGCGATTTGCATATCATACCCGATGACATCGAGTGTGGCTATACAGAAGAGGAGGACCCTTCGTTGGGGAGAGTGCTTTTCGAAATCGGCTGCGAGTTCTGGAAGATATACAGGTTATTACTTTGTATCGTTGATTTCTACAACATATTCCTCACGTGGGAGAATTTTGCCAATTGCCAGCCGTGTCACATGTATGGCACACAAGACGCACAGCCATCCAAGAAGATGTTTTGGCAAACGCTTTGCACAGGGCTGCTTGACCCCAAAGGTGAAGACAAAATCGAAACCTTATTCCGTGAATGGCGCGCCCAATTATCGCCCATCAGCGGCCTTCGGAAAATGAAGGTCTCGAAATTCCCAACTTTGTTCAAAACGCTAGGCTTGATGGGTTACTTTTGGGCGACCTGGAAGAGTTATGGCGCTTTTAGCGAAATGATTCCTCATACCAAAGGAAGAAGACTTGGGAGAACAAGATCGGGTTGGCTTTGCTTACTACCAGCCCATGTCCAGGCCGGCGATAAATTGATCCTGCTTAAAGGGGCGAATGTGCCGTTTGTCGTTAGACAGAGAAAAGATGGATATTGGCTCATTGTTGGCGACGCTTATGTCCATGGAATTATGCAAGGGCAGGCGTATGATGCCGATGCTGGCATGTTATTAAAACTCAAGTAGGCCAATGATTCTTCAAAACGATATATTTTAATCATGTACTTTTACTTCCTAGTTTCATCGTAAATATTGGATTTTTCCTTTTTCTTAAACAAATGTATTTTAGAAGATTGAAGCCGAAAAGCAATCTATACCTGTAGAACTTACCGTTGAAAAACAATATCCTCTATGAGCCTAGAACCTTCTTTACACCCCAGCATCTCAAGAGCCCTTAGGACGCATCGAAACCTTGCCTTGCGGCGCCTGAGCCGCCGTCTCGCCCTCGGGATAATGTACATCCTGAGTCGAAATATTGTTGCCATACGACGGAGCCGGAAACTCTGGCATCATAATAACAACACCACCCTTCTGCGCCGCCGCATCCGCCTCACCCGCAACAAGCGTATGGGAACTGTTGTTAGTATCATTTGATTTGGAGATAGCTGGAAGACCGGCCGTACGCTCAACGTCTCTAGTCTGGGCATCGGACGAGGCCTTCTTAGCGCGAGACCGACGCTGATATGCTTGGACGCAGGCGCCGAGGAGGCCCAGGGAAACCATGAGGCCGAAGAGGCCGCCGGTGACGCCGAAGAAGATCATTATATCGATTTTGAACTCTTTGGGGTCGGTTTTCCAGTTATCGGGCTTGGATGTAGGTGTTGCGACTGCAGTGTCAGTGGGTGTTGAAGTGGCTGTCTCGGTGGGTACTGCGGCCGAAGTCTCAGTGGGTGCTGCAACTGGTGTCTCCGCTGGTGTGGCATCGCTATACAAGAGCCATGAAGGTTCTACCCAAGTTGGGTTTGAGGGAGCGGGCAGGATCGAATCTTCCTGCAGCCGGGCTACGATGCCTGCTTGAGTGAACTCGGCGGGTGCCTCGATGGTGCTGGTCTTGACAATTACCTTGGTTACCTGAGTGGGCTCGGATGTTGCAACCCGCATGAGCTCGGATGCTATAGCTTGTGTGGGTGCTAGAAGGACTAGCGTCATGAGAGATGGTTGCATGGTTACGGTGGTGTTGGGTGTGCTGAGGTCTTAAAAGTCAAGTAGTAAATTTGCGTTCTTGTTTGTCTTGCTCCGTGAGGTGCTGATGTGGATAATCTTATGGTGAGTTGGAAACGTCAAATTTATATCAAGATGTCACGCATTGTATAATCAGGTGGGTTGAAGCTGTTCGCACACTTGGTATCTGGGACATGTACAACGTTTAGCAGTGAAATCAAAAACTCATTTGAACAATGTTGCCTCTGGAGTTCGATTACGTTCCAGGTGACTTTTCCTGTATGGCAGGCATGCTATCTTACGCGATTCTTCAATGTAAATATATGCATGTAGTTTTCCCTACTGTTGCCTGATGACAGCTCGACATGGATTAACATTCCAAGCAAAAATACATTCACTACTCTTCGTATATAACATCGAGATTCTCTGTGAACAAAAAATACCAAGGCTTTTGTCACACAGAAATAGACTACCATACATAGAGTTTTTTTAGTCGTTCCCCACCCGTTGTGCAGGTGCAGCTTTTGGTCTTGGAAAGGTAGGGTTCCCCGCTGTAGTAGGGCGGTGAGGTGCACACCGCTTCAAATAAGGCGTTCGACTACAAGTCTTTTCAACGATACCCAGTCAGCTTCACTTTGCATACCTTGGGTAAGACAGCTATCGCGACGGCTAATCAGCGATTGGATCTAAGCGCATAGCGATAACAATGCTAGGTTGCGATCAACATCTTGGGATGAGATGGTAGGGACAGGTATTGTTCGGACAAAAGCATCAAAACATCTACACTACCGGTGGTGTTGTCGTTGGATTGAATGCCAAAAGCTATATATAGTATGTTGTACGGCTTTATGTTTGATATGGCTTCGTAAAGCCTTGTAACAGCGGCTGACACCCTCAAGTGCGGAGTTGGTGTCGTTTAATAAACGAATCACTTGGCTGCGTTTTGCAATAATTGTTATCGCCAAATCAGAGCTGGGGCTGTAATGCGGAGCGCGTCGTCTAACTCAATACGACGTGAAAGGATGGCACCCTTTCTCCTGCGCGTGCATTTTTTGTTTTATCGCGCAGCTTGTTGCCTCAGACAATGGTTGGCTGACGATGAGCCGTGTCTGGGGTGACGGCGGTGGCGAGAGGGTAATGGAGGGGGCTGGCGACGTCATGAAGTTTTTCCATATCAGCACCGCCGTCTCCGCCCATCGGCCCCCATTTCATTTGCTCCCAAACTTCCTTCTTCCAACTGATTGTCCAGCAGCATGTCTAGCAGCGCGTCAGAAACCGTGGTTGAAAAGTATCGCTACGAAATCCTCTTTGGCACGTGGCTAGCCGTCACAGGAGCGACATTTCTGCGTATCAAGCGACAGCCGTACAGCACCCGCCTGAAGATTGAGCAGTACGAGAGCATCTTCAAAGGCACTTCACTCAGCGCCGTCCTTATCGGCATCGGCATCACCCCCGCACGCAGCACCGCAAGGCGCTTCACTGGCAACTAAGAACCAGGCCGTGCTCGGAACGGGCCAGCGAGCATCTCGGGCTGAGGAGAGAAAGATGAAGACATTTGGCACACACAGACACGGTTGACCATTGCTCACAATCGCCAACATCCATCTATATTTTGTTTTTGTCGAGCTGGTGCTGGTGGAGCAATCGGATGCGTCCCGGCTTGGCATTTCCCCGCAACTTTCACATGCGAACACACTCCACCCCGTCTTCTTGTCTACAGTTCCTCCAAGACGCGCATCATCATCATCATCACCACCAACAACATGTTGCTACGCTTGGGCTCGCTGAGCTTTGAGCTCAGCATGTGGAGTCCCGTCTATGCCGTCGCGCCCTTTGTCTTGCTCTCCATATCCATCCCGCTCGCCTTCTTCGCCCTCGTTACCACGTCCATCGCCATCATGCTTCTGTCGTTGCGCGCATTGGCCATCTACTTCCGCTTGGCCGTTGCCATTGTAGGCGCGTGGCTCTCTCCGTCGCCTCCATCAAAACACAACCCTCTCCGTCGTTCTCGCCCCGTACCCGCGTCAGCCCGACATTCACCAAAGAGCGTGCACCAGCGCTCCCGCCGTACCAGTATCACCGGCACAGCATCCATCCAGGGCCCTGGTGCCTATTCTGCTCAGTCTACAAACTTTCTTCAGCGAAAGAACAACTCGCTTACCGCTCTGATCGGTACCAGCGAGTTGACGCGAGATTTTGAAGGCGTAGGTGGCTGGAGAGTCGCAGGTGATGACGATGAAGAGGCATTGTGGATGGGCATTAACTCAAGACTCGAACTACCTGCCGAGACACCAACCAGACGGCGCAGGTTAAGCTATACGGGCACTGCCAGCCCAGGTCAGCGATTGAGCATCGGATCGGAGATCTTGCGGATGAGTCCGGTGCAGAGCAGATCGAGGACACCCGTACGTTTTGTGCATGACGATGAGTATGGCTACTTCCCCCAGCAGCCCATACCAAACAACACACGCTTCAGCCACAGCCCAGACACCGTCCACGAACGCAAGAGACGAAAGAGCACTAGCGCGAGTAGCACGTCCAGCAACACGTCAACTGGCTTGACAATAGCAACAAAGCATGCAGGAGAGAAATTCTGACCCGAGCAACACATGCAAGTTGTGTTCTCTTTCATCCAAGGAGCCGGCTCTTATTTGCTTTTCATAACGTGTTGATAAGGCAGGCTTCAAACACGAATTGCATCTCAGACATGAGCGGCATTGAGAATACCTTCTTTTGGTCGGCGGAAAAAATTACCCTATACAAGCCAATATCTTCCCCTCTCTGCGCATTGCAAGGGAAGTCAGTTTGTACAGCAGGCCTTTCTACCGTTTTGCCAGCGAGTTGTTCGTTTCTGTAACACGAGAGCTATCAGCTTATAGTGTCAGCTTGAACCAACCGTTAGCATACAGCCAAGCAGAGGAGTAGTTTTCGAATTGGTTGCAATTTGTCATTATCGTGGCGGCTTCCTCAGTTATCTACTTATCACGATGAACAGATCCCAGCGCCAAACTTAGCAGGCTGCCATCGAACAAGGGATATGCAAGTCGACAGCCAACATGGGGGCAAAAGATGTCCAACATACAGGATAAATAGACCTTTGAGGCTTCGCGCAACGGCGGGCGTTTCTGGCCTTGGACCAACTTGGGGAGAAACGAGTTTTGACTCGAAATACATAATGCAAATATCAAGAATTGATATTCACAACACATTAATCAGGAACTGATATTCACAACGCATTTTCCAGAATCGTCTTGACGATTGCGCTTACTGCCATCCGCATGTCATTCCGCTTCAGCTCAACCTGTCATAAGGTAAGATCCATACTTCTCCAGCAGCCAATGAAAAATGTCTTTGCGACGTTGCAATCCTTCCCTGACGTCTCGTGCTATCTTCCAATTTGAAATCTGCCAACTGTACAACACAGCTCCAGTGTCTCATTGACGCTTCGTAAATCAGGATCCCCGCAAATCTGCCTGGGTCTAACCCGCCGGCGTGCTGAAACGTCTTCGCTCCCAAGGCTAGCTCAGACAAAGCAGCATATGTGTGTATCTGGAACAAAATGGCGCGACGAGGTAGGCACATCAGTACGAGCCATCGCAACCAAAAGGATCAACGTTTTGTTAGCGCTGGATATATGCAAAGACCACTAGCCTGATTAGGGCTTTTGCTGATATTTCTTTCTGGATTCGTCCACAGGTACGGAGCTTTACTGGAGCACGTGTTGCAATAGAATCAGTCATGCAAGGGTTGTGCATGTCATTGACTGGGTAGCGTACGTTTCAAGATCGTCGCATTAGCGGACGGCTCCACCACGGGATCTTCACATCCACTAGGGCAACCCCGGAAGCCAGTTAAAAGTTCCACGTCCGAGTGTCAGGGCCATCGACAGAAACGCTTCATCGCAATGCGCAGGCTCGGCGATGTGATCTGTTCTGTTTTCTCGGTAGACTTGTGCCGACTCCCATCCCCAGGTAGATTAGCAGAATGCATGGTTTCCTAACCAAAATTGGTCAGGTCATGGAGCTCTTTCCGGCGGATTTTGATTGACAAAGCAAATTCCACATATACCCAGCGTTGTAGGTGGACCATGGGTGCCCTCACCACGCTACGCGCTGGACATGGAGCCGGGGCGTTTCTAGTTTCATGCCTAGAATGTTTCGGCATTACTATCCTTGACAGCATCACCATGTTCACTGGTGCCGGCATATACTAGGGCCTGGCTACCAACTGGCAACACTGCATGTCTTCCTTGATGCCATAAGTGATGTGGCAACTTACCTGCAGCAACATCGTCAAGCTTTCTTCCCTTTTTGCAGATGTTGTTGAGATACCCCGTTAGACTGTTTTAATAATGTTTTCTTCTATTGCTGGCAAGCTTACCTGGTGCCTACTAGCATTTTCGGCGATTTTCTTCCTATCATACTCTTCGGTTGGCTTCTGGATCAGCGGGCAGAGTCCAGACACTACCGGCGATTACCCACACAGCCTCGCGGCTATCTTTTCCACGAGAACCCTCAATTCACTGAATCAAGATCCACAATTTCATGACGCACTACTATCACTCACGGCGATAGTCGCACATTCTTCCGCGGACTTGGGAGGAAGGTTTGGATGGGAAGAACTGAGGAGCTTCGGCACGAACCTGACAAATGGGGTTGGCCGTATTCGCAAGAAGCAACAACACAGACGTAAACGGCAAGATCCTTTGGCAAATTTTGGCGCATCCTTGGACGACTTATTGGGTGGTTTAGGTTTGGGAGGGAATTCGTCATGTGGACTAACAAATATCCTTGGCTGTCTGGGAGACTCACTCACTGATTCACTTGGTACACCTGCTCTCTTCTTGGGCATTGGTCTTGGGTAAGTATGCTAGCATATAAACAGGCCAAACTAACTCGTCACAGTATGGGAACAGCCACTGGGCTCAACTTGACTGACGCGGAGGAAGCTAGTGCCATAGCCAACAGTATCGTGACTGCGTACAATTTGTCCGCGACTGGAAT